AAATAGAAAATTCATATCATACCACCATTCTTCTGTTTCAGAAGTCACTTTTTTACAATTCTTGAAATTCTTCCTGAGCTGTGTTCTTTACACAGACTCGTTTTCAGAAGTTGACATTGTTGCTGTTTAGGGACTTGTCTAGGAGATGTCTGCTACATCATCGGATGTTCAAAAGAAAAATCAAACAAAAGTTTTTCAACATGAATACATTGTTAAAAAAAATAGTGATATATATATATATATATATATATATATATATATATATATATATATATATATATATATATATATATACAGGGTGGCCGATAAGTAGGTATAATTTCTTTTCTTTGCTCATTACAGTGTTTTTTCTTTCACAGATCATCTACTGTATTTTGTTTTTGAATTAAAATTTATTCTACTGTATTTCTACGTTGTTTATTTTTGAATTTTAGGTATGACGAAAGTTTCGCCGCATCGAAGTGTTATTGTAAATTTGTGTCGATCAGGAATGAAAGCAGCTGCAATCGCAACAAGGCTCAAGTGCTTAATCCATTGGTCTACAAAGTTCTGGCGCAATGGAGAAAGATGGGTGACGTACAGGAGAAGAAAAAAGAAGGCCGCCCAAGAACTGTGAACACTTGGAAGGCTCGAGGAATAATCAAGAAGCGCATCACCAGAAATGACGGTGTGAGCCTTAATAAGATGGCAAAAAGTCTTGGAATGGCTTGATCGACTCTTCAAGCGATTGTGCACAATGATCTTGGACTCAAAAGCTATCGACTTTTGAATGGGCAACAGCTAACAGATCAAGCGAAACAAAAACGCCTCGAAAAGTGACAGGTTTTGAGGATGTCTTATGTCCTCGAAAAGTGCCAAAGTTTTGAGGATGTCTTATGGTCAGACGAAAAAGTTTTCACCATTGAAGTTGCCAAGAACTCTCAAAACCACCAACAACTCTTGTCACCAGGTCTAAAAAACAGCCGCAGAAGAAAAGTTGCAACAAAAACGCTGTTTTTAAAAAGTTTAATAGTGTGGGGAGGAGTCTCCGCAAACGGCACAACGGAGCTGATTTTTATCGACAAAAGCATTAAGATTAACGCCAAAACTTACCAAGATGAGATTATCAAGAAGGTCGTCATTCCATGGAAGCAAAAAAATCCAGGAATGATCTCGTAACAAGACTGGGCGCCTGCCCAAGAAGCGAATTCAAACCTGTATCGACGCAGATGGCAGACACTTCGAAAATGTGTTATAAAAGTTATTTGTTATAGTTCATTTGTTCATTTAATAAACATTTTTCTATATATCAATTGTTACAAAACTCTGGTATGACTGCCTTAATATTATACGTACTTAGAAACTTCAATTAACATACCTTTTTTATTTCGTTATAAAGAACCTTATTTTTTAAATATTTTCTTTTATTGGAAAAGGAAAGTTTTAGACTTCCCTTTACTGGTGTTCTCATTGTTTTTCACCCAGAGATAAATTTCCAATAAGTTTAATAGCAACAACAAGTATACATAAAAATACATCAATCAACATCTATATCAATCGATATCTATATCAATCGACATCTGACAATCTTCAATTTAATTACATAAGACTAGTTATCATTTTAATAACTTGCATTTTGAATTATAAAAGAAAAAGTTTTAAAACGAAAAATTAAATTCAAACTGCTTAATCAACATACACCCTGCTTGATTCATGTTTTATTAAACATACACCCTACTTAATTTTGTTTTTTATTTAACTTAAAATACAGCCGCTTAATTCAAAATGCAGCTTAACCTTTTTAGTCAAAATACAGTTAAATGATTATAAGTGAAACATTATCATCAATTTAAAAGCTATAAAGCAAAAAATATTTGTCAGAACTTTACAAATGAGACCTTGTTTTGTTTGTCAGAAAAATGGCTTCTAAACTATTTTTTTTTAATTTTTTCATCTTTTTATAGCCTTGGTTATGTGATTCAATGCCGTTTTTAGCGTGTCACATTTACTAAAAAAAAATCATAAACTGCAGAGCGGGTCATAGGCATAAAAAGGGCAAGTTTAATAGCACTATAGAAATATTATAGAAAACCATCATTTCTTTGAATGTTAAGCAAATTTTAAATTAATGGTGTATAATTGTTGTTATCATAATATCATTTCGATACAAGAAAGGAAGACAGAGAACTAATACAAGAAGAAGCTATTTAAAATTGCATCGATAAAAACTAGTCTTCGTTCCTAGGTGTTCTTGGATAATCAAGCATTTGTGGCAAAAAAAATAAATTTCTATACCCAGATTTTGGACTTACTAAGTATAAATTATTATTTAGCCAAATTGTTCATCTATATATGAGACTTCTGGGAATTAATATTCCCTTTGTTTTTAAAGGTCCATATCTTCTTCAGTTATGAAAGAATTTTAAATGTTTTTGCTTTTCTACATTTTCTACTCTACCCTTTTCTACACAATATTTTAAAAAAAGCTATTACTGATTTTTCTTAGGATATTATGAATACTTTACAAAGGTTTTCCATTTCTGTCGTTTTCTGTCTTGAAGAATATTTTTAAATATTATTAGCACATTTAATCATGAAACGCCTTCTACTGCTTCTTTTTTACTAAAGTTAATAAAAAGTTTTGATTTTATTGTTGTGATGCGCATAAAAAGAAATAATTTTGATTTAACTCTCTTAATTATACAATTGCTGGCAGTGATGATATTTTTCAAATGGTATTTTTTATAATTTGAATCTTATAAGAATTAAAAGATGTTGTCTCCACTTTATAATATTTTTAATCAATACCTTCAAATATGCTTTGAACAAGCATAAAAATTGCATTTCCATTTATTTGAAATTGATTATCACTGTTCCTTTGCTAGACAAATGATACTATTTTAAAATGTTATAAACCTGCAATTTAGTTTCTTCTTTTCTCTAAAAAAATCTTATTTTACTAGTTGGAAAGACCACATCATATTTAGTTAGTTTAGTTAGTTGGACCACATCATATTTTTAAGTGCCTATTATATAACAGACTTAACAAATCTTTTTCTATAGACATAATTACGCTTATTGTCAAACCAAAGGCTTTATTACCTGAGTTTGACATGTGGGAAATTTGGTTGAATTACACTTAACTGTCTGAATTTTAAAAATGAGCTCCAACCTAATAATACTGTTTAATAATAAGTTTTTGACAAGTTTGCTGTAAACACTTGTGAATTGTGTTTTAATCATAATTTGAATATAATTAAAGTATAATTTTGAAAAATGTCTTATCTACCTTTTATTAAACAGCTATTTTCATAGCCAGACATCTTTGTAAAAACATTATTTAGCATTGTACAGTTATTACAATAGGTTTTACAATAGGTTTATTACAATAAGTATTTATAAAGTTTCTTTATAATTACAAGTTATTTATAAAGTTATATTTAAAAAAATTACACAGTAAATTAAAATTTTTTTTTTTTTGCAAGATAGTGTTAGGATGCAAAGGTCTTTGTCAGTCATTATGAACTTGTAAATAAATAAACAGGTTTGTTCCCAGGCAGTTAGTAATAAAAGTTTTTGTCTTTTATACCTTATAAGTTTGATTTTTGTTATAAATAAAATTTATAAATTATTGCGCCTAATATCTGGTAATATTGTGGACTATAAATTTTTCTACAGAAATCTTGTATTAAAAAAATTATAGTTTGTATATATAATACATTATGTCAGTTGAGTATTTTCAAATAGGGAAAAGAGGTATTCAAAAGAAAGGCAAACTTTTTTTTTGGACCCAGAAAATTTTATATATACACCCATACTGTTGCCATTACTGTTGTTGAAGTAGACTTCGAAGAAATTCTTCTTCTTTTGGATGGACAGAAAAAGATATCGAATGTCTCTGCAGTAAGGGCAAAAGATTGTATCATCTTCAGATTGAAAGCAATTGGACAGCCAATATGCCCTTGCCTTTTGATCTAAAAAGGATACAATCTTTTGCCCTCACTGCAGAGCCATTCACCATCTTTTTTTGTGATGTTAAAAACCTCATTTAATGGATCATTTTTCTTTTTTTTAAAGATTTATCATATATCTTCAGCACTTGATCCAGTTTCGCCAGTACAACTTGAATTGATAAGTAAGGAAAATTTAATTTCTTTTGCCCTAAATTTGTTACTTCTTTCTCAATTTGCTTTATGCATTCTTGTCTCCCTTCGATAAATTTTTTCAAACAGTTGTGACTAAAAATTTGGATTTTGAGTAGTATCCTGTTGTTATTTCCAGTGATTGTACTTCCAGTGGAACAGTTCTTCTTTTCCTATGTGTCTCATAAAATTGTACAATATTTTTCATACAGATTGTCTGGTACTTTTGTACTATTGTACTTCTATATTTTTTACTGCCATCAATAAACCTATAAAAGATTCCAAAAAATTCTAAAAAATTTCAGAGATTTCTAAAATTCTAGAAAGTTCCATAAGATTCAAGAAAATTCTAGGCTTCAGAATGCTACTGTCTGCAAATAATACTTACATGCTATTTTAAAACTTTTGTTGTAGGTAAACCTTTTGGAAAATTAATCAGAATAAAACCCATTCTAATTACTTTTAAGCAAAAGTTCATTGATTTATGACACAGGAAATTATTTATTTTACAAAAAGTCAGATTTGGACAGCAATGGTTTGCAATTGAATGTAATTGCTAACACACAAAAAATTTTTTTGTAACAACTTAAAAACCACTGTTTAGATGTTTTAATAAATTAAATATTTCAGAAATGTGCTTAACAGATATTTTGCACATAACGTAATCTAACTTATTTACATAACAATACATAACCTTACCTAAAAATGTTATGAGGATATATATATATATATATATATATATATATATATATATATATATATATATATATATATATATATATATATATATATATATATATATATATATATATATATATATATATATATATATAAACACACACACACACACACTAGCTTTTCAAAAGTAATAAGAAATACCTTTAAATGTGAAGCTTTTTGAACCAACTCTTGTACCTTAAAGACAGAAATATGAAAGTAAAAAATTTTGATGGTTTGCCTTTACACCATATTTTGTTTATATTTTTTATACAATGCTTGACAATCATTATTGTTATTATTATTTGCAGCATTTTTGTATTGTTATTATTATCATTATTATTATTTTTATTGATATATTTATTATTATTAGGGTGATTATGCATCAAATCACCCATAATTTAAGAAATTTGGAACTATGGGTCCTCAAATTTTTTATAAATTTCTTTGGCTGTTGCATGTTAAAAAATTTTGTTACCACAAAAAATTTAGCTAAAAATCTTGAGCGGTTAGATAACAGCAATTTTAATATTGACCTGGTTTCCCAAAATGACCCGGTTTACATAACATTCTGAAAAAACATTGTTCTTAAAAAAAAAAAGAAATAAAAATGACGATAATATGAAAATAAACCTACAATTTTTTTTTGATGCTGAATTCAATAAATGTACTTAAAATTCTGAAATATTAAAGAAACATGCTTGAAAGTTAATTAAACAACTGGTTTCTATAAACCAACTTTGGGGCTTAATATCTTAAAACACCACTGTCAATTTTTTTTTTTTTTTTGCTGTTAATATTTTCAGCTGTTTATAATCTTACAAGGCACAAAAAATCTAACTGAAACAGCAAATAAAATATATTTTACTATAATTTCAAAAATATATAAAATTTTCAACAAATTATTCAAAAAAACTTGCAAATAGAATTCTGTAAAATATCAAACATAGTTAGTAGACTCCTTAGAAGAAAAAAACAAAATAATTTTGTTATATTTAAGGAAGTCCAAATAATTGATAACTTAGTTATTTGATCTTAATAACTGAAAAAAACATCCTGCTTGTTTTTATATAAAACTGACTAGTTGTAATATTGAAGTGCATTTGTTTTTAAAATTTTGACAACAACAGTTTGTAAAAGTTTATAAAAACTAGTTTATAAAAAGTTCAGTTATAAAACAACATTTATTGGTAAAAATTTATTTAAATTTGAACAAATTAAGAATTTGATATATATATATATATATATAATATATATATATATATATATATATATATATATATATATATATATATATATACATATATATATATATATATATATATATATATATATATATATATATATATATATATATATATATATATATATATATATACATATATATATATATATATACATATATATATATATATATATATATATATATATATATATATATATATATATATATATATATATATATATATATATATATATATATATATATATATATATATATATATATAGTTTGTATATATATAAATATGTCTATAAAGAAAATTAACAATATCTATCAGTGTAAAAAATTATACAACAGAAGGATTCTGAAAAGGCTTGAATTATTTCTATATTAAAAACTATAAGTTTTTTTTTACTGAAAATTAAGTAGGAAAAAAGAATTCTCTTTTTTTTTTAGGAAATACATTCATACTAAGTAATTTATCTTAAGATGTGTTCTATTAGCTTTATGACATGCCTTGATGCATGCCAAGGCCAACAAGATGTTATTGAAACTTTATGCAATGAAGAAAAATAACTATATCATTAAGTTATAACATTGAAGCATCAAACTTAACAATATTATGTGAAAGACATACTACAAAATATTTGAAAATGTATCCTAAATGGCAGAAAGCATGTTGTGATCAAATCAATAAACATACAAAAAAAAAATCACATGTAAGTAAATGAAGAATTTAAATATCTACTTATATACTTTTTCAATTTGTATTTTTCAAAACATAAACAATGTTTTAAACAATTGTGCAGATAAGCTTTATACAATTTACTTTAAGAAAATGGATCAATCAAACATTATCATTATTGGCGACTTTGCTGAAAATGATACTTTTGTAGTCCAAGATGAAATACAAAGCTATCATTGGACTACCGAGTAGTGTAAATTTAATTAGATTGACTGCTTGTTTAACTTTTACCCAGTGTGTAAATTTAATTAGAGCGACTGCTTGTTTTTATTTTTTTTTCAAAGCTAGCACTGCCAGTTTTGAAAAAAAAAGTTTAACAAGCAGTTGCTCTAATTAAATTTACACTACTCGGTAAGTTCATACAAGATACAGTTAAATTAATTTTCTTAGTAAATCACCCAGTTTATTGAGCCACGTGTCTTCATTTTGTGTTATATCTTGACACATTATCCTAATTATAAAAAAAATTGCATGTTAAATATCAGCTAAAAATGTTGGGCGGTTGACAATATACTGCAATTTTAATATTGACAAATTTTAATATCGATTCTGAAAAAACATTTATCTTAAAAAAATAAGAAATAAAAATGGAAAAAATATGAAAATAAACGCATGTTTTTTTGATGCTGATTTATATAAATGTACTTAAAATGCTGAAGTATTAAAGGAAGATGCTTAAAAGTTAATAAAACAACTACTTTCTAAAAACCAACTTTGGGGCCCAATATCTCAAAACACCCCTGTCAAATTTTGTAACATATAAAACTTTAATTTCAAAGATATATAATTTTTCAAGAAATTCCCAAAAAATATTTGTAAATAAAATAAAAATAAGTTAATCGTAACTTAAAAAGTTACTTTAATATGTAAAATTTTTAAAAGTATCAAAGATGGAAGTTATTTCGACAGTGTTTGCAATAGTTCACAATATTGTTGCCATTTTATTTGTACTTCTTCTATTTCAGCATTTTCAAACACATAGTTTCTACCGGAACTAGAGCAAGTTTGTGAAACAGATAGTTTTTTTCAATATGTTGATGTTAGGAATAAAACAGTAGTCATCTCTTTCAGGCCAGTTGCCAGTTAAAACAGAATGATGGACCTTTTGGGTGGAGAAACTTAACTTTAGCACCAACTTCTTCTAGGTTGGCTTAAGTTACACCGATCCACCACTTATCATCATAGACTACAGCTATATAACCTCCTAAAGTGTATCCTAAAGTATCACATTTAAATATATCTTATTTCTTTTAAAGATTGTGGATTATTGTATAATTAGTGTCCGTACTACTCTTTACCCCAACCCTGTTATCTCCAAGATGTATAAATTGATGAAAGTTATAAATAGCAAGTAGAGTTGTTACATCAGTGTACCTATCTTTTTGCTCTTCATGTTGCAAAAGTCTAATCACTTTATGTAAATGAAGTTAACAACCTTGATTTTGTCAATACAAAATTCATGCATAGCTTTTTATGTGAGAATTTGGTTCCTGTATAGTCGCTTTAAACTTTCTTGTGCTATTAACCTTTTTACAGTACCGCCAATCCCATGGCATGGTGACTTTCCGCAGGGCATGGCAAAAAAGTTCTATATAACTTTAAGGGTAAATTCGCACTCTAGTTGACATAGATTGTAAAAGTTTTTACAATTTTGTACTGTCCTGCACAGCTATCACTGAATAAATTTAATTTGGACAGATTGGAAAATTTTATTTTTAATACTGTTATAGTTAGTTGAAATACTTTGTACCCATACGTTACATCATGTGTAATGTTATCTGATATAAAACAGTAAGAATTATATTACAGTAAACCTTTATCATCTTTATAAAATACCACTAATGGATGCAAAGAACATTTTTGGATGTTCCAAGGTTAATAATTTCTGTTGCGACAGCAATAACCATGTATTTATGGGAGTAAAGCAATAGTTCAATAATTCTAAAATGCTTATATTGTTAATTTTTAACAGTGTTTGAAAGCAACATTAAACTTCTTTAAAAGTGAATACACAAAAAAAATTATAAAAATTATCAAAAATATATTAGTATTTACAAAAAAAAAAAAATATTAAATGATTAAAATAAATAAAAATATTAAATCTCAAACTTTTATGATTTCAAATCTCAAAAATCTTGAAAATTTGTCTATAAAAATCTTCTAATAATAAAATTACAGAAACAAATAAAAAAAAACAACAAATTAAAATAAAATTGAGTTAAATTAAATTGAAACTTTTATTATTTTTAAATAATTTCTTAAAAAGAACATAATTACATGAAAAACCAAATTATAGGGGAATTTTAATTAAACATTCTAAAATTGACATTCTTGCATTAAAAGCAGAAATGTCATGTTTAATTAAAGTAAAACTATAAAAAACATATACCTAGAGTGCTATTATATGTACTAGTGAAACAGGCTATAAAGGTTGATAATATTATGACATCTGAAAAGAAGGGAAAAGATAATAATAGAGGTTGAAATACTTAGTGAATCTGGTAAAATCAAGGACGTTTGTAAATATTCAAAATAGAAATACAGATGATTAGGTAGCAGCAATTTTTTCTTAAAAAAAATTAAATTAAATAAAAAATTTTCTATTTTTTTTGTATAAAAATAAATAAATACTTGCTTAAAGCAATAATAATAACAAAGTTAAAGTTGGATTTAACTACAGCTAGTAGTAACTTTTGAATAAAAAATGAACAAAATTTATCTGGTAAAATCAAGGACGTTTGTAAATGTTCAAAATAGAAATACAGATGATTAGGTAGCAACTATTTTTCTAAAAAAAAAAAAAAATTAAATAAAAATTTTTATTTTTTTAATTTTTTTTTGTGCATAAAAATAAATAAATACTTGCTTAAAGCAATAATAATAACAAAGTTGAAGTTGGATTTAACTACAGCTAGTAGTAACTTTTGAATAAAAAATGAACAAAATTTATTATTTTCTTTAAATACTTTGACTAACTTTCAGTAACAAATTTTAAAATTATTCTTTAATATTAATTATATTATCGTGTAAAAAAAAAAAAAAAAAAAAAAAAAAAAAAAAAAAAAAAGAATGATAAAGCTGTTTAAAAATATCTTTAATAATATCAAAAAGCTTTAAGGCTACTAACAATAAAGTCATATATTTTATTAAAAATAAACACTTACATAATTTTCACCAAAATCTCTTTGTCCGTGATTGTAAGCTTCTATTAACATTTCAGGTGGTTTTGTTTTACTTACCACTATTAGAGTAGGCATTACTTGCAAATTGCCATGAACTTTCTAAAACATATTTGAAATTGTTATTCAGTTTGAAAATTGATTGCAAATAAGATTTAGATAAACCTTTAATTCCTACCAAAGAAACTTGGAATGCTTTCTGAATATTTAAATTCACTTCAGTCAAAGCAGTAGAAATAAATGATGTGGACATGATTCGAATGAATTGTTGAGAAAGAAAATTATTGCTCACAAATGTTTTCATTAAAAATAAATATTTTCTAAACTTATTAAAAAAAAATTATTATAGCAATTTATTTATTTATTTAAAAACATTGCAAAAACATTTTAGTAAAAGTGTGACCAGTGTTCCTATTTTAATTTTATAGCAATAAATAGGGTTGCCATATGGTAATCACTGAAAAAGAGGAGATTTTACACAGCGGCGAGTTTTAGGGGGAGGGGGCTGATACCCCATGACCCCCCCCTCCCCTCTTTGTTTTTTTTTCAAAAACTTCTTTTGTTAATTGACTATTATACAAAATAGGATTACTATACTGAGGAATGAAATCGACTATTATACGTAATTATACGTATACGAACTTAATTACTACACTAAAGTACAAAAAATTAAAAAAAAATTTCTTAAAAATGAAATAAGCGGACTTTTTTTTTTAAAGACCTTTTTAGCCCTCTCCTTGGCGAGAGACAAAACCCGCTCCTGATTTTACAATACGTGTTAAATGAATGAGAATCCTTATTATTTAGCGCGGCATAACCAGAGCGGACCCCTTTTATGAGAATTAAATAAATAATAATCCCTTTTCTTTAAATGTCATTCGTTTTTTAAACACAAGTTGCTGGTTTTGCAATTAAAACAAACCTAATTTTAATTGCAAAATGTTCACATTCAATTTTATGGCTGTCTTACAATTATTGATTCTTGATGAAAGAAGTCTTATAAGTTATTCTATGTTAAAATATACCATACTTTAAAAATGCAAGCCAATAATTATTCCTCTATTATTTAACTTGTCTCTATTGCCATCTTGTAACCATTATTCACTTGTATCTAACTAATCACTTCAATCAGTTATCAATTTCACAGTTATCGACTAATCATTTGTTGGAACAGAGCAAGAACTATGAACGGGGAAAACAAATCATACCAACTATACTTTTTTGTTGAACTTAACTTTTTCAATAAGTCTTTGTTTGATAAAAGGGGCTTTGTTTATAATTAAGTCTTCAACTTGATCAAAAATAAGGATACTGTCAAGTTTCATCCAACTTAAAACTTTTAACTATTTTTATTGTGACTAATAACAGGTCAAAGGTTACATAACTTACATAATCTTGGCTTATTTATGATTGTAAGATGCATTAGATAAATATGGGTTAACATAAGGAAATTTGTTTATCTTTGGGAGAAACAGAAATAAATGATCCAGCTGGGCAAATTTTGAATTTGGCTTCACACTCATTCCTCTCTTTCTTAAACTAGAAAACATTTTTTTTAGACAAAATTATTGAGAGTGCAGCGATTCTTTTACTTTAAAACTTTAAATTAAAGGAACTATCTTTCGGGTAAATTACTAATCATGACTTTTGTTTTCGCAAGTTTAGATGCGCGCGCATTTTTCAATGTTGTGTAATCAAGAGAAGAGTACGTGTGTTGTGTGAGCATTTTTAATAAATTGTTAGAATGACTAAAAACATTTTACATTAAATAGTTTTTACATTTTCAGTTCTATACATTCAAGTATTAAAATTTAAGTATTAAATATCGAATTTTTATAAAAATTAAATAAAAACCTCCAAAAAGAGGAGATTTTAGGGTTTTTTTAAAATCCCCCGAGCCTTATTTTTTGCCTTAAAATCCGGAGATCTCCGGGTAAATCCGGAGATATGGCAACCCTAGCAATAAATATTTATTTATAATCAGAATGTCTATTAGTTATATTAAAAATAAGTGCTATTAAGGTGGTTCATACCGTTATTTTTAGTCAAAAATCAAAAAGGCTTTTTGTTATGCAAAATTTTATAATAAATTCAAATATATTATTAGAATTTATAAAAATATTGAATATGTTGACTAAAATTCCTTTTTATGCAACCCTATAAAAATTACGCCCTTAGCAGCACCATAGCAACAACTCCTCAATATTGAAATAAACTACATTATCAAGTTGGAAAAAGTGTTATTGAGGTTGAAAAAGCAAGACAATAGTTATTTAAAATCCATACTTTAAAATAACATTTTTTAATATAAAATAACATGAAATTAGAGTTGTTTAATTTGCAGTCTTTACAGTTGCCAAGTGATTTTCATTTGTTTATTGCTATTGTTGTTAGCCAATGCCACTATAATAGTACAGGTCATTTTCAGAATCATCTAAGAATGCATAGGAATTAAAATACAATATTAAATTGTAATTAAAAATTAAATGACTAACTGGCTGAAAAATATAAACCAAATCAGTAATGTTTTTATCTAATTAATGCAAGTTTTTTAAATTAATGTTAAAAAATAAAAATTTAAAACCTTACATGCAAGAAAAACGATAACTAGGGAAAATCATGAAACAATTATAAACATGTCTAATTCGATAAATAATCATTCAACCAAATACATTGCCGAAACTTTAAACATTAGCCAAAGTGCTGTAAGAAACTGCATAAATCATCAAGAAGGCATCAAATTTGCTACTATAGGAGAACGCCACAAGCAAACAATCAAAAACAAAAGTTTGTTGTTCAGTGAAATCGAAAATACTATACGATAGCAATAAATAATGAACTGACACAAAATGAAATGGTAAATGAAGTTAATGCAGCACCGGTATGGTAATATCTTATTCAACAGTATCAAGGAAATTGCGGAAAATAAATATAACGCGAAAAAGGCTTTCATTGGTTCCCGAAGAACGAAATTCCCCAGCAAATATTGAAAAAAGGGCCATATATGCCCGCCGTATCTCGCGTATTTCTAGTGATAAATTGGTCTTTTTAGACGAATCAGGATTTAATCAGCATTTGAGAAGAAGATATGGGTATTCCCAAAAAAATGAAAAGGCATATTCCATTGTTTCCGGAAACAGAAATACAAATCGAAGTTTGATGTGTGCAATAAATATTTCTGGTGTGATTGCTTATGAATTAAGAACTGGAGCTTATAATGCTGAAATCTTTGAAAGATTTATAAGAAATAACCTGTGTAATTATTTCCGACAAAACCAAGACCATATACTGATAATGGATAATGTTCCATTTCACAGATCAAGAAGTATTATAGAAGTTTTAAATGAATTAAAAATAAATAGAGAATATTTATCGGCATGGTCTCCTCAATTAAATCCCATTGAGGAATTTTTAGCATGATGAAGGCAAGATATCGCGGAATAAAAGCTTTAAATAATGAAATTAATATTAGAGATGCATTGGAAATAATTTTTAATCGAATGCGTGAAATTAACGAAGAATCAAGTGGATTTTGGAGATCAATGGAACGATGGTTGGAAAAAGCTAAACTAAACATGATTTTTGAATAAAGTAGTTACTTAAATTAATATAATTTTTTTGAAGTCGAAATGTTAAATGACATGAGCTTATATATAAATAAATCATATATTCGAACTTTTTTATGCTTTAAATGGATTTATTAAACAATTCGAAATTTTGCATAAAGCACTTTATAATTTTGCATAAAGCAATTTATAATTTTGCATAAAGCAATTTATAATTTTGCATAAAGCACTTTATAATTTTGCATAACCCTGTAATTACAAGCATATGATAAATTATATATTTGAATGATTTTGAATGAATATTATTAATGTTAATTCTAAATAATTATTATTTAAACAGTTATATTATTGAACTCAAAATAAATAAAATTTATATATGTAAGTTGTTGCTAGAAACAGGTGCCACGAGTGCCCCTAAACCTAATATTTATTAAGTATACGTAGTATATATATACTTCTTTGGCTTTCCTGGCTTCACTTCACTTCTCAAAATAAATAAAATTTGTATATATGACTGCTAAAAACAAGCGTAACGGGCAACTCTAAATTATCTAGTACCCAAATAATAATAAATGCGTGAACAAAGAAATACTATAAAATACAATAGCTATTAGACTTTGAAATAGTAATACAGTACACCACAGCACTTATTGTAATTGTTTTTATTCCAGCAATACAATACAATAGTTATTGTAATTGTTTTACATCACAGCAATAAAATACAATAGTTATTGGAATTATCTTATATCATATCACAGCAATACACAACAATAGTTTTAGAGCTTCAATGTATTGTTAGAAAAAAAAAGTAATACAATAGTTATTGTAAGTGTTTTTATTCACAGCAATACAACAACAATAAATAATTATTTATGGTTGTTGTATTGTAATACCAGAGATGTTTTAATTACATCTTTGGTATTACAATGCAATATTATTGTATTGTAATTGTTATTGTATTTAATTTTTGCAATTACAATTACAATAGTCCAAACCCTAATTTCGCCACATTATAAAATAGTCCCACAGTTAATAAGAATATATAATGTACAATATATTTGCTTTCTAAACAATATTTAATATTAATTATTATTATTATATAAACAACGTTATAAAATCAAGGGACATATATCAGGAATTATAGTAATGATAAATAATAATGTATTAAAAAGTAATGATAAATTTATTAGAAGTATTTTGAAGATATAATAAATCAATAGTTTTTAGAAAAACATTTAATAGTTTTTTAAAATTCTCCTAAACCTTTGTATTTAAAATTGTCATTTGTTCCAATTGAATCCAATTAAAAATAATTTATTATATTTGAATCATTAAATGCTCGCTGATTGCTTGTAGCCACTATATCGATTAGGGAAAGTCCATAAATTACGTAATGCAAAATTTCACAATAAACAAAACAAAAAAAGATCAAAAGTTTTCCTTCGCAGAGTCTTGATTTAAATAAATAATCAAAATATGAAATGAAAATCGCCGTGTAAAAGAGCCTAACATCTTCTACTTCTGTTCTTGAAATATTTTTTGCGTTGCGTAATTTATGGACGGCCCCTTAGCATGTTTAAAATACACCATTATAAAATCCAAGCATCAATATTTAAAAAAATTTATTATGCTATCAGTAATAACTATAATGTTGCATTTTTACCTTAAGTGCCAATATCTAAAACTCCATGTATATTACCTATGTTTCAGATAGTACGCAAGTATCTCCCCAAAAAAAAGAAATCCTATAGAAATACCAACCACCAATTGGCTATTTTAGAATGAAAATGTCATGAAGAATGAAATGTCAAATGAAGAAGTTCTCAAAAAAAAAAAG